GCCTGCTAAATAGACTTTAGACATCTGTTCTTGATGTATAACTGCTATAAATGAGAATGTCTCTTGTTAGATATCAAATTCTCTCTCAGCTCCTATCCACAGCTTTCCAGACTTCTTTGGAATCTACTCTCTGTCCTTGGCTTCCTCAAGTGTCCCAAGATAGGCTGAATGGGGCTGTATTGAGGGTTGAGCCAAGCTAGGAGGGATATTAACCTAGTAATCATCCAAGAGTGTGCTAAGCCAAAGAGGTAGTCTAGGACTGTATCTAAAGAACAGGGTGGTTAGCCGGGCTCAGTGGTATACACCTGTTATATTAGTGACTCAGGAGGCTGAAACAAAAGGATTGTGAGTTCATGGCCAGCCTGGATAATTTAGTGAGACCCTGTCTCAAAATAAAAAAAGGACTGGAGGTATACTTCAGTGGTAAAGCACCACTGGGGTTCAATCCCCAGTTCTGGAGAAAACAAAGCAAAACAAAACAAAGGGCTGGGGTTGTGGCTAGTTGTAGAGTACTTGCCTTGTACACGTGAGGCACTGGGTTTGATCCTCAGCACCACATTAAATCAATCAAACAAACAAAAGTATTGTGTTTATGTTCAACTAAAAAAATTAAAAAACAAAAAATGTGGTTAAAGACCAAAAGAGTATCTTCAAAGGGTAGATGGACTCATGAAGATGTTGACCTGACAGAGGGTGTTAATTGTGACATCATGGCTAATCATGGTAACATTAAAGAAAGGAAGCAAGATGTTTGGCCTGGAGCAGTGAAGATGACTGAGGAAAGAAGTTCTATGAACATGGCAAAAGAGAGATGTTTTATGTGGGCATCCCCTCCTAGGTCAGCCATCTCTTCTTCTCTCACCTGCCCAAGACTCAGAGGCCTATCTCACTACCAGACATATAGGATCAGCCTCCCTGCTTACATGGTTCTTTCCTATATAAACTTAGGGAGAATTGTAAGTGACTCAGTGTGGCTGTGGGAGGAAAAGAGTAGGAAAGAGGTGGATGACATGGTAGGGAGCTTGAACTTTATCTCACAACTAAGATGGAGGCTTTAAATCAGGAAAGTGGCATGATCAGATTCATATTTTACAAAGATCATTTAAAGATAGTGATTAGAAGTTTGGCTTCAGGTCCTGGTCAATTTTAAGTCAGTTGCTTGATCTCTCTATGCCTTGATTTCCTCATCTGTTAAATAAGAAAAATGACAGCTCTGAATCCAGAGGATAGTTGTAAAGATTAAATGAGATAATGCTCATAAATAGCTTAGTAATTGACTGGCTAGTAAGTGCTCCATAGCTCAAAATGATGATAGCGATACACTTATTAAATTGGGAAGAAATTAGAGACAGGAGGTCAAATGTGATTAGGTAAAAGACAGTAAGAGCCTGAATTAAGGGGGATATAAATGAACTGGATAGTTAAGAAATATATTGAAGAAATAGAATTGTTAGACTTTGAAATAAATTGCTAATGAGAGGATAAAGACAGGCATCTTTAATGAGTCCTGTTTCCAACCTGAGTCACTAAGTAGATGGTGTTGCACTTGAATGATAAGGAATACTGGAGGAAGTGGCAGTTTGGGATGAAAAAAAAAAGAACATAGCGAGGTTGGATTTTAAGATGTTGAGTACCCTGTGATCATGAGGTGTTGGGTCTTAAACTATGAAACAGATTTGAGCTCTATCATAAGGTAGAAGATGAAGGTATGGGTGGGGGAAAGAGCACCTTGGGGCAGTATGTAGAATAAGAGGATCCACGAGTCAAGCATATATCTGTGGAGGGAGAGACCAGATGTTCCAAGGAAACATTGGAAAGATTGGTGACATGGAAAGGAAGGAAGAGAGGAAATTTCAAAAAGGAGGGAGGGAGAACTCAACAATGTCAAATCCTGTAAAAGAACTGAGAAGTGACCACTAGTTAGCTGTGTTGTTACCAGTGCCCTTTATAAGAGTAAGTGAACACATCCAAGTGCTAGGTTCTGTGCTAATGCTAAAGTTGAATAAGAAACAGTTCCTGCCTTCAGGGCACTCAACTGAAATCTATGAGAAAAGAAAAATGCTCAGCTGTGAAGGAGTTCAGGCTGGGAAATCAGTTATCCCATTGATCACCAGGATTAACTTGTCTGCTATGGCAGGCTGGTAGATTTTCTCTTTCTTCCTCACTCCTTTATTGATATCTCCCTTGGTCAATGAGAATAGCCTGCTCAAGAGAAGAGGGTTTTCTTTGGTCAATAGTATAAGAATAGTGAGCCTCCCATGCTGGAAGTTTCAAGCCACCTTTCTTATAGACTGTAGTATTATGCTTCTTTTCATAATACTGTGCGCCTTTTGGAGACCCAAACCCAGAGACAAGAGAGCATGTGTTTGAAGATAGACTTGATTCTTAATCTCACTACAGTCAGTTCTTGTGGTGGTGATGAAAGGTGGGAAGGAACCTGCTCAAGTTGAGGAAAGAAAAAGTAGAAGGATATAGGAGGAAGATGGTAAGATGTCAGGAAAAGTTAGATAAAGGATGAACAGAGGCTAGCTAGTTGGGTAAGTTTTTGTTAGGCAGAAGTAGTAGGAGCAGGAGGGGGAAGGGAAAGATGGCATTCCTGGCAGGAGGAATAGCCAGATGAAAACTTGGGAAAATGAAGAGGTGAAAGTTTCAGGCCAGGCTCAGGGACTGAGTAGCCTTCTTGAATTGCACCTCAAAGCCCTAGCACATGACTGGGAGAGCAGGCTGGAATGGGGACTTGAGGCCAGATGATAGAGTTCTGAGGACCTGGGGAGGGAGCTCGGGCTTTCTTCTTCTGTGGTTTGACGGCTTCTGGAAGGAACCATCAAAAGCTTTTTAGGAATTCAGGCTTGTCTGTCTCAGGCTTCTTCTTTCTGGAAGACCAAGGGCCCAAAGTGGCAGCCTGACATTCAATCTCCTTTGCTATGGTTGGGAAGTCAGGGCTGTAGCTGATTTCATTGGCCTGTTTTGCATTTATTATAGTGTGGCTTTTATAGTGTGTTAATTGAAATATTTCCAACTGCCAAAAACAATTACACTCAAATTGCCTTGTCAGTTCTTTTATTGCCAGATAAATGTTTTACAGACAGATTTACAGGGGGCAGTAGTAACTGGATCTCATTTTCTATTTAAGGCTGGGGATTTGGGCTGGAATTGGCCCTCCAGTGCTCTGTTGTGGGCCGGCAAGCTGGTGGACATTGCAACGCTTCCATACCGTTACCTTAGGGATCAGAGGCTCTTCAAAGGAAAGAGTTTTCTGGCTCCTGTGGCAAAGCCTCAAGAGAAGGGTTCCCATCACTGGAAACCTTGGAAACCTGGCAGAAATCTGAACTCAGCAACAATTCCAAGCTGAGATATGTTTTCTTTTCCCTTGAAACCCTTTTCCTCCCTTCTACCATCCAAGCCTCTCCCACAGAGCCTATTGTTATACGGCTGTTAAGAGCCCACTGCTCTAACTCCTTCTCTTTACATTTGGAAAACTGAGGCTCAGAGACTTCCCCAAGATCATACAGACAGTCAGTGACAGAGTTAGGAGCAGAGGTCTCTTTCCAAGTGCATTCTGCCACCAACATGTTCCAATTGACTTGTATTCTGGTGCCTTGACCCTTCCTTCAGTGCTCTAAGCCTGCTTCTTCCAAGGCCCCTTCCCTAATATCTCCACCCCACACTAAGTCCCCTCACGCTTGATATATATATATTAAAATGGGGTTTTTGTTTGGTGACTCTGTTACTGTTCTTCTTCTGCCTTTGTACATGCCATTTATGCCTTCTGAAAATGCATCTTGTCCTTTGATACCCAATTAAGAAACACCATTTCTGGAAACCTTTTCTGAGTACCCAAAGCAGGGGAGGTACCTCTGTGCTATCCTACAGCAACCTGTGCACACACATCCCATTGCTGGCACAGAGCTACCTTTCAAAGGAACTTATGCTGAGTGAGTGACTGATGAGCACTGATCACATTCATCTGCCCTCCACAGACCCAGCACAAACTTTCTTTGTCTTTGTCCCACTGCTTAGGTTAGTGCCTGACACAAAAACAGATACTCTCCAAATGTTTAATGAGTTGAATTGAGCATGCTGCTTGTATTAGCTTTTTGTACAAAATACCTGAAGCAGGCTACTTTTGGAGAAAAGAGGTTTATTTTAGCTCATTGTTCTGGAAATTCAAGGGCATGGCTCTTGCAACAGCTCCACTCTGGTGAGAATCTCATGGCAGATGACAGAGCTTGTACAGGAAAAGGATCACATCTTGAACCAGGAAGCAGAGAGGGAGGAAGGGGCTAGACTTGCTCCTTGTATAACCACCCACTCTGAGAACTACCAAGAGGTCAGGGAACTACCTTAATCTCTTTTGTGGTCATTTCTCCAATAACCCAAGGATTCCCCACTGGATTTCACCTCTTAAATGTACCTTCACCTCTTCATATCACTGCCCTGGGGACTAGACCGTCAACCCATGAACATTTGGAGTACACTCAAACCATATCCAAACCACAGCACTACTCTTCAGAACTTAAAATTTTAGCATGTTAAAACTAGAGCTGGGCACAGTGGTGCACACATATAATCCCAGAAACTTTGGAGGATGAATCAGGAAGATCACAGGTTCAAGGCCAGACTTAGCAACTTACCAAGACCTTGTCTCACAATAAGAAAATCAAAAAGGGCTGGGGATGTAGCTCAGTGGCAAAGCAACCCTGGATTTAATTCCCAGTATCAAAAAGAAAAAAGAAGAAAAATAAATGCCTGGTGCTAAATTACCTTGTTATTCTTCATAGGTAATCCCATTGAGTCTGAAATGGTTGCCTCAGATATGGGATCTCCTTGGCTGGGCTAAGAAATACATGTGGCCACTGAGAGTGGCCCTGGAACTGTTCTTGAGACTTGGGAAAGCTCAATATCCTTGAGATCCTTGGGTAAAAGGACCTGTAATATGTTTATAATATTCTCATGTCAGTTTACTTGTGACTTGCCTTCTGTTTCTGTTCTTTTTTCAGAGCCTGAACATGGGCAGAGGAACCAGGAAGAGAGTAAGTGCTCAGATCACCACAGTATCTTAGCAAGATGCTAATGGCATTTTTTTCCTTATTGAATATTGTCTACATATTTTTAGAAAATTCAAATAAGCTAGAAGATTAAAATTACCCTTAAGCCTACGACCCTGGGATAACCTTTTATTTAATCTGTGGTGTTATATTTTCCCAGAAATTTTTATGCATATATAAAATTACATGTATTTATTTTTGTTTTATTTTATAACCTGTTTTTCACACAAAAAAATATTTAGAGTATCTTCCATTTCTAATATACTATTATAGCATCATTTGAAATTACCACATAATATTTTATCATGTGTTCCTTAGGGCCATCCCATAATTTGTTCAGCCATGCCTCATTGATGAATATTTAGATGTTTCTTTTTTTTCACTATTATTATCAATTATCTTAACAAATGTTCATATACTTAAACCTTTAGGCATATCCTTTGTTATTTCCTTAATATAAGTTCTACAGGTAGAAATTTGGGTCAAATAACATAGTTATTAGGCTTTGGGAAATATTTCCAAGTTGCTTTTGAGAATGATGGCTAATTTATGGATGCCTGCTTTCTTATAACATTGCCAGTTCTGAATGCTAGTTTTGCTTTGTTGACTTAGTTTTCCAATTTTATAGTGAAGAAATATATTGTTTTATTTAGCATGTCTTTTCTTGTTAGTGAGGGTGAACATCTTGAAAAAATATGTCATGGTCATTTTGGCAAGGTGTTTTTCTATCAGGGAAGGCAAAACTTCTACTCCTTTATTTTTGGCTTAAAGTAACCAAATACCAGAGAATATTGCTTTAAGAATAACCTTAAAGAGGAAAGGAGGAAGGGAAAGAAAGAAGAAGAACTGAGGTTTAAAATTGATCAAACTATGTTATACTTACTTATGTATACATTGAAGTGAACTCCACTATCGTGTATAATTATAATACACTAAAAAAGAAAAGATCAAACTTAAAGGTGGTATATTGGAAGGTCTATTATAAATTAGAATGGAAATAGCTTAAATAACAGGTTGGCATCCTTTCTGGATGTCTAAGCCACTTTTCATAAAGCCCTGCCTCGACATCTGCTCCTGAACACCTCCAAGGCTTTAGGGAGAGCAGGAGAGAGGAGCCATTCCTTCAGGTACTACTACTTGGGCCAAAGGTCCATCACAATGTTCTAGCTAAGCCCTAACCCTCTAGGGTAGAGATGGCTATGATCTTCAAGACAGAGTGAACTCTGAACTGAGAAATTCTTTGGGACTCTTCCATGAGTGGTCGGTTGCACATTTTATATACTATGTTCAATGGGCAAAGCTTGACTTCTGGGAGGATTTGTTAGTTAAGGGATTTTCTGCAGCATTATTTGCTTGCCCCCAGATTAGGTGCTCCTAATGCTCATATGAAGGTTTTGTGCAGGATGAAGATTCAGGGACTGAAGTGGGAGAAGGGACAGATGAATGGTCCCAGTCTAAAACCACAGTTAGACCTCCTGACCAGCTGGAGTTAACAGATGCGGTAAGAGAATAGCTTCTTATCCTTGTCTCTTCCACTTCCTCCATCTTCAGAGATATGTTCTTCCACAGTACAGATTAGAAACCCGCACAGAACCTGGGCATGAGATGTCTGCTGGTACCCTGGGCGGCCCTAAGCCTGAGAGGGATCCCCTGGAGGGATCTTCATGTTTGACCCTTTTGGTATTTCTTTCCCTCAGGAGTTAAAAGAGGAGTTTACCCGGATCCTGACAGCCAACAACCCACATGCACCCCAGAATATTGTCAGGTACAGCTTCAAAGTAAGTCATCCCCTCCTGGACACAGCCTCTAGATCTCCTTGGAGTGTTAGTGACTTGTCACATTGCAAAAACCTCTTCTTGGCTCTTTTGGAGATTGCTTTTAAACAGGTTCTTGGCTGAAATCCTGGAATTTTGCATGGAATTTTCCAGAGATTTAAAAAAATTCTTTATGCATCTCCTTTGCAGTCTAACTAACTGCAGTGCCTTAAGTGCCCTGCAGAGTCAACTTTTTTCAAGAATCTTTAAATGAATATTTAGTTAGAAAAATACTTTTCCAATAGATGGGACTATTGGAGCTTTAGAAGCTGAATTTTCTTCTAGCCAGACACCTGGGTAGAATACAGATCCACCTCTGGACAAGAAAAAGCTGATCTTCCTCATCCCCCCTGCAACCCTGTCTCTTAACATCACAACCAAGCAAGCAGGTAACCTATCAGGGCCTTCCTTTATTTCCATGTTGTGGGCAAGTTCTTAGTTGGTAGATATATCTGTGGTGTGTCTTTATGGTAGGCAACACTGTTTTCAGCTAGAGTAAGATCAGCTCCTGTGAGTAGAGACCAAAGAGAATTTCAGAGTACATTTTGAACTAAAGTAGAAGTGATGCCTATGTTTTTTAATTTCATTTTGAGATGTATGGGTTCCATGCTTACAGTGTCCAGTGTCAGATTCTATATTAGAACTTTTATATAGGTTATCGTATATTATATGCTTTTTGATACAGGAACTACTATTATCTTTATTTTGTGGAAACCAAAGTTAAATTAGATAAAATGAATTATAAAAATCACACAGTCAGGATTCAAAAAGCAAGATTTGAACCAGTTTGTTTGACTCCAAAACAACATTACGTTGCTTCTTTAAATTTTTTTTAAATGTACAAAGTTTTGAATGTATAATAGAAATTCATAGTACAAATTTCAAAAGAGTCAAAACACACTGAAAATATAATGAAAATTGTATCTTCCTCTGTCTTTTTCCCTGGAGATAACAATAATTTCTTTCACTAGGCATAGTTGCATACACTTCCAATCCCAGCTACTTGGGAGGCTGAGGCAGGAAGATTCCAAGTTTCAGGATAGCCTAGGAAATTTAGTGAGACCCTGTCTCAAAATGAAAAAAATAAAACAAAACCAAAAGATGGTGGAAGATGTATTTCAGTAGTTCAATCCCCAGTACTAGGGGAAAAAACAGAGCAATCGTTTCTTTCTTTATCTTTTAAAACAGTTCTTTTGAGATATGGTTTATATACCATAAGATTCACTTGTTTAAAGTATACACGTCAGCAGCTTTTAGCATATTCACAGATTGTGAAACTTTTGACATGATCATTTTAAAACATGTTTATTTTCCCTGAAAGAAACCCCTCACTTGTTAGCTGTCAATCCCCAGTTCTCCATCACTTCCATCCCTGGACAATAATGAACTATTTTCTGTCTCTATAGATTTGCCTTTTCTGGAAATTTCATATAATAGAATAATACAATATGTGGACTTTTGTGACTAGCTTCTTTCATTAAGCATATTGTTTTTCAATTCATTCATGTTATACCATATGTCAGTACTTCATTTATCTTTATTGCCAAATGATATTCCACTGTATGAATATACTGCTTTTTATTTATCCACTCATAAGTTGATTGATGTTTAGATTTTTACTACTTTTTGACTAATATGAACAATACTGCTATGAACATTTGTGTACAAGTCTTTGTGAAAATTTTCTTGAACACACTGTTTCTTATTCAGGCTGTGTAGTCAATCCCTCCACAAAAAGTTTGCTACAAATCCAGACATGTTTCTTGAAAGGTGCTGTTCATGAGTTTTGCTAATGGCTTCGCTTGGACAATTTGCAAATGTCAAAGGGAAGCTGTCTTACCTTCCCTCATGTTATGCTGGAGTATGGTGCAATCTCTGGGTTCCTGTTCTGACATTAGAGTCCCTCTAGGACTCAGTGAGCTGGCCATGGTAGTCATGCTATAGGTGAGGACTGGCGCTGCCTTGTTGATTTCAATGCATCCATTTTGCCCCTCTTTTGAGGAAGTTCACTTCACCCAACCTTCCAACAGCCTAGTCATGCCTGGCATCCTCTCACAGAGCTGGTCCCCTTCTCTTTGGTCTTGAGAGATCCCAGAGCTTTAGGTTTCCAAAATTGCTACTTTCCCTTGATGGGCTGGAGAGGGGAGGCAGATGGTTCTGATCCTGGAATGCCTCCCCTCCTTTCACAGAAGCATTGGAGTCTGAATTCCATTTCTAAACTGAAGGGAAAAGTCACAGTCAATGGGAACAGGGTAGAGAGGAAGCCTCAAATGACAACTATGAGGATAATTTATTCCCATTGTGTGTTAGTCAGCTTTGCGTCATTGTGACCAAAATACCTGACAAGAACAACTTAAAAAAGGAAAGTTTATTTGGCTCATGGTTTTGAAAGTCTTAGTACACAGTTAGGCAACTCCATTGCTCTGGCCTGAGATGAGGTAAAACATCATGGCAAAAGGTCATGGTGGAGAAAAGTTTGCTGATGTCAGCTGGGAAACAGAGAGGGAGAGAAAGAAAGGGACTGGGGAGAAAAGAAACCCAGAGTACATCCTCAGTGACCTATTTCCTCCAACTAGGTCCCACTTCCCAGTAGTTCATTCAGCTACCAATAGATTAATCCACTGATGAGATCAGAATCCTCATGATATAATCATTGCCTAAAACCCCACCTCTGAACATTGGGACTTTGGGGGACATTCCCTATCCAAACCATAACACATGGGCACCTTCATCATCATAATAATAGTTACCATTTTTATTGAGCATAATATTATTGAACATTGAACATAATATTATTATTATGTGTCAAGCACTGAGACATAAGTATTGAGCTTTTACTATGTGTCAGACTCTGAGACATAATGATGAAAAATTGTTTTCATTATTTTCAATACTTACAATATCTTGCAAATTAGATATCATTATCTTATTTGTTATATGAAGAAAGTAGGGTTTAGAGTTGTTAAGCCCAAGGTCATACATATAATAAGGAGCAGACTAAGGATTTGAACCCAATTCTGCCTGCATCCAAAGACCAGGCTCTTACTCACTAAGTTAGTGAGACAGGAAGAACTCCATGGTGACTTTCTAAGGCAGAGCCTTCCAACCTATGTGATCAGAACATTCTAGCTCTCTGGGGACAGATAGGTCTGGTACAACTGGAACACATGGGCTGGTTTCCTCTGCTGTGAGTTTATCCCAGTGTGCCATACAAATATAATTATTTTCCATATGACTTGAAAAGGAGACTCTTATCTCTAATTGAATTTTAGTGGTTGCTAGGATGCTGATCGTGAGGGTGAATCTATAGAACTGCACTATAGGCTCTATGCAAACAGGAATAGTGTCTGCTTTTGCTCAGATTTTAACCTTGGGCATCTTACAGATATAACATACTAGGCACATTTTGGCAGCTCAAAAATTATTTCTTGAGGGCTGGGGTTGTGGCTCAGTGATAGAGCACTCACCTTGCAAATGTGAGGTGCTGGGTTTGATCCTCAGCACCATATAAAAATCAATAAAATAAAATAAAGGTATTGTTTCCAACTACAACTAAGAAAAAAATTTTTTAAATTATTTGTTTAAAAGTGAATGAACCAATGAAAATGTTTAAAGCTTGGTATAACTTTGTTGATCCCACCCCTCTCCACCACCAAAAAAATAAAGGAAGAATGAATGAATGCCAAGATTGCCTGGGATTTAGGGCTTTAAGCTTAATCCTGCTTCTCATTTACCATATGCCCTGGACAAATGTCAAACCTAAACCTTCTGCAGATCTTTGTGCTACTCTTGGATGGAACCAGGAGGTTCAGGGATTTTGTTGTCTCTTACCATCTATCCAGCTCTGGCATCCACTAATGTACAGTGGAGAGAGGGCCAGGCTGTGTCATTTGATGATTATCTGACTGCCCAGAGTCTGTTTGAGGCAGGTGAACTGGGATCCCTTGCATGGATATAGGAGATAAGAAAATTGAGCCAGTGACAGGTAAATGTGGAGCTATTTCAGGTTGGAAAGAGAAGGTATTTGAAAATAAGTCTTTGAGGAGAACTTTAAAAAATACTTAATTTTATTTGACTCCTCTTCTTTTAGCTGAAATGCTGTGAAAACCTCAGGCTAACTGAGGGTTTGGTGAGTTACATTTCCTGTATATCTTAAAGAATGAAGGCAAACTACATTCTAACAATAGCCCCACTGGGGACCTTGGTCTGACTCAGCCCCTTCTTCTTCTTCTTAGGAAGGCACATATAAACTTATTGGTTTTGTGAATCAACTGGCAGTTCACTTCAGCCAGGTTGGGAACCTTATCCCCAAAGATTCAGATGAAGGACGACGGCAGAACTATCGTGATGAGATGGCGGCAGGTAGGATTCTAGACCAACCTGAGGCGGCAACCCTACGTCTTATCCCTTTTCTCTGGTTACCATGAGGAATTGATCCCTATGATGGAACATACAGAGGGTCTTCTTAGATGGGGATTCATACATGGCTGACCTGAATAGGCCTGGGAGCTAATCCATGATACTTAGGCCAAGGAGAATTCAAGAAACAGGCAAGGTCTGAAAGGCAAGAGCCACGAAGACCTTTCCTGCTAGGGACTGGGGTAGTGGGCCTGGTCTTGGAGCTCATTGGAAGTATCCTTTCAAGGTTCACAGGAGTCTGTCAAGGTGGTGCTTTCAGACACAGAAAACCTTGAGGAAGATGAAGAGCCCAAGGAAGCAGAAGCTGAAGCTGAAGCTGAAGCTGAAGCTGAAACTGGGAGTCAAATAGATGTGCCTACAGTTGAAGTATGGATTATGTTGCTCTCTACCCCACCAATTCCAGCTCAGGCTGTGGGTGGAGGCTTCGGGGTGACTTGACAGGGTCTGCCTTTCTGAATGCCCCCACCTTCCTTTCACAACTGAGTCCTGGTCCTCTGGGTCTTTATTTCCAGGCAGTTGAAACAGTACCTGAAGAAGAATTGATGACTCCTAGGCAGCCCAAGGAGCGGAAGCTCACTAACAAGTTTAACTTCAGTGAGAGAGCCTCACAGACCTTCAACAACCTTCTCCGGGTAGAGCCCTCACCACAATCCCTTTATTTTTAATCTCTGTGCTGTTTGTGACAGGGAAGAAGCAGGCCTGACCCCAGTTTAAGCAGCCCTTAGCTTGGCAGGACTGATAGGGCAGACCACAGTTGATTTCTTCAAGGAAAGCTGAGAGCACATGTTCAAGTCCTTGTAAGCCATCCAAGCAGTTCGTAGAGAGACAGGAGGCTAAAGCCTCCAAAACTCCATTGAGAGGTTTGAAACTTTGGCTGAGAAACGAAGACAGAGAGAGAGAGAGAGAGAGAGAGGGAGAGGGAGAGGGAGAGGGAGAGAGAGAGAGAGAAGAGAGAGAGAGAGAGAAATTAGAAGCTGGGGAGAAGAGAGGAGGTCATAGTATGCCAGGGGGTAGGCAGCCAAGGAACCAGTTCCTCTGGAGTTGATGGTCTTTGGGGTAGAACAACTGGAAGAAGCATGAAATTTCCAAGGGAACTTGTAAGTAATGGAGGATCCTGATAACTAGGCTGTGGGAGCTTCACAGGACTTTAGGTGAGGGCAGTGTTTTACAGAAATGAATCTGTGGTGGAGCATGAGGTCTGTAGGGTAAGATTTTGAAAGTACTTCATCACTCTGGTCCCTATGCTGACATTGGGAAATTTGGGTGTATATAATGGGAAGAGAGTGACTTCTCCTGGTGGAGCCAGACTCCATTATTAGGGAGAAGCCTTCTTAGGGCAAGGGATATTCCTCTGGGTCCATGGGAGGCTGACCTCTATGCCCTGTGTCTGGAGTGTGGCAGTGGGGTGGCTTCTTGTAGATCTGTCCACCACCAGTTGGAGTTTATCTTGGTTAAAACTGGCACAATCAAGCTTCACTGACTTTACTTTCTAGCCGAGACCTCTTCTGAAGGAGGCCAGAATTGAAAAATGTGGATTTTGTATATATCATTCAATTCTTTGCCCAGGTTTCTCTACTTCCCCAGCTATGTCCTACTCCTTGAGATCCGGCCAAAATGCTTCTCCCAAAAATGTATTGTTAAGTGAAGTAGTAGAGGGATTTCTGTGGGTTTCCTGTTGTCATTGTTCTCTAGGATAGAGATTGCCAGATGGAGCCTCCTCCCAGGACAAACTTTTCGGCCACAGCCAATCAGGTAAGACCCTGGGCCAGTCTGAAATCCATCACCACCTCCAGTCCCATGCATCCTCATCACACTCAGCAGCAAAGGAGACTGGCCTGGCTAAGGACTCCTCTGGGGCTGGGGATATAGCTCAGTTGGTAGACTGTTTGCCTTGCATTCATAAAGCCCTGGGTGCAATCCCAGTAACACACACACACACACACACACACACACACACACACACACACTCCTCTGGCAGTCTGGCAGTCATCTTCCACCTCCCTGTTTATTGTCATAAGCATCCAGTCTATGAACACCAGACACGTGAGACAGTAGTAGGTCTCTCCCAAATGAGCTCTGGACCCATCATGTGCTCCCAGGGCAATGCTACCCAAAATAGAAATGAGTGTGGCTTCTGGGGCTTCTTCTAGGAATGGAGGAGAACTGAAGAACTGTTGTTCCTATTAACTCTGGAGTCCATGGCTCCTTGCAGCTGACTCTGGAGTATTAGCATTCTGAGTCTGCCCTCCCAGCAGCCTATAGCATTCCTGCAGACCCTTCTCCTTTCCCCTCAGTGTGTGGGCAAGACATGGTGCTAGAAGACCTGAACCATTCAGGCTCCAATTTTGCTTTTCCAGTAAGATCCTGAACAAACCATGCCTCCATTTCTTTCTTAATGCCTCAATTTCTGTCAAGAAAGAAAGACAAGCTGTCTTGCAGGATTTTTGTAGGGCTCTGAATGAGATAATAAGTTCTGGAGTTCTTTGCAATGTAGAATACTGGCCCATGGGTAAATTTTTAAAATGTAAGGTGTGCCTATCTGGCCTCCAGGTGGCAGTGACTTCCCAGCTCCCGGAAACAGTGTGATCTGTGGCATTTGCCCAACCCCAGATCCTTGCTGCTTCCTCTGCTACTATCCTTGGGCTTTCCTTTCTTTATAGTCAGTTGGCAGCAATTCTCTTACCTTTTGTTTTTCTCCTTTTAATGTCAAGGTATGGTCAGTGTTGTAGACGGCCAGCACGAACCTTGTATATTTATTCCATCTCCCTAGGAGGAGACTATATTTTTTAAATTTTCCTAATTTAAAATCTTATAAATCACCAACAAACATATGAGCTGGCCTGATATTTGCCCATTATTCTGCCTGGTGTGGGTTGCATGCTAGAACAGTGCTGATCTCCCAGCTGAAGACCCAGATCAGGGCTTCAGAGTGGACAAGTTCAAAGCAGAAGTGACCTGAGAGCTCCTTCATTCCTGATCCAGAGCTGATGGTTAGCAGAGAAGGCAGAGATTGAATACATAACTAGAATGGGCCAAACAGAAGTTTACAGAGGCATATGATAGGGGTTAACATGACCAACTCCTCAAGCTTTGAAGGTTGAAAAGGAGCTGGCTAGGGAAGGCTGTGCCCTGTAATGACCTTCTCATCTGTCCTTGTCTAGTGGGAGATTTATGATGCCTACATGGAGGAGCTTGAGAAGCAGGAAAAGACCAAAGAAAAAGAGAAGGCAAAGACCCCAGTGGCTAAAAAGTCAGGGAAGATGGCCATGCGGAAGCTGACATCTATGGAATCCCAGGTTTGGTGGGGGTGTCCACAGCTCTGTCACATAATGTCTGAGTGGTGTCTTGGCCCCTGGGTAGACAGAAACATGGCTGCCTGGGAGAGTTCACAGATACTTTAAAAAGAGGGGCTAATGTGGAGGTGTGAATAGTTCTTTCCTTGGGGGAAGATGTGAAGAGACTACAATTGCCTCTGATATTCCACCATCATCACTACCCTCTCCCCACCCCCTGCCAATTTGATGTAAGTCTGGAAGTTAAGAGGGGTTCAGGATCATTGGGCGAGGGAATAACAGAAGAAATACTTTATTGAAAGTGCCATATGCCTCCTGCGGGGGTCCATCTAGAGTGGAGATGGGCTGTGAGAATAAAGCATCACTTCCCTGGGGTTTGGGAGGGTGAGAGGCTCTTCTGCTTTCAGTCCTTGGGTTTAATGTGCCTGGTACTTAAGGTGAGTCTTCAGGGCTAGGATCCAGACAAGAGATGATCACAGGTACCATCAACGCCAGGACAATGAATATGGCCATCCTGGGCTGGATTTACCATGAGGAGCAATGTGGGAGTTTTTACAAAGCTCATGGTTGGGGTATGTGGAGGGGTGTAGCCAACATAGGTTGGGGTTAGTATGAGAGTTATAGTGATGCAACCATGGAGATGTTCAAGGGCTACACCTATCCCTCTGACAGAGAGAAATCTGGGTCAGGAGTCAGGGTCCCAGTGTGGAGATCAGGATGGGTGTGACCTTCGATGGAAGAGATCTTCAGGAAACTGGGGGCTGGTTTCAGCACCTCGGAGAGCTCCCATGGCAGTTGTCTGGGAAGCAGTTCTGTTCCACTCCAGAATAAGAGTTAAAGAAGTTCTGCTTTCTTTGTCTGAGGTGTGCTCACTTCCTCTCAATTTTCCATTCCACAACCCTGATGTTGTCACAGTCAGAAGGTTTAATGGTTCCCCTGTATGACTTAATAGAAATTCTTCCAATTAAGTTTCATTCAATCACTGACCAGGCATTCAGTGATCATAACCATACTAGGTACTGGAACTCTAAAGTGAAAGAAACCCCTATCCTGAGGATTGTTATGTGGTCCTTGACTCCTCCTGCATCATTTCCCAGAGGTTAGAGACGTCAGAGGAGCCTTTGATTTGTGTCAAGGTTTGCTTGAAGATCCATCAGGGTTTGGTTGTGGGCTCTGTTCTGGGACCCATGGTTGCAGAAACCCCAGTTATAATCATCAAAACCCAGAAACCAGAATAAAAGTCTCTGTGGCTAACTGGAAACTTACCTGGAGTCTAAGCCCTGCCAGAGTTGGTATATAACACCTTCAGAGGAGGGATTTCCCCCCTGTATCACACTGGGCTCTTCCAGCTTGACTGACATGGCAGGCTGTGAAATAGGCAGATTCCATCCCTATGGACCAAGAAGCCACAGTGGAGGCAGGACACTGGAAAGTATAATGTAACCCATTCCCAAGTGAGTGTCTTGGTATACAACCTCATCATCTTTTTTCTTTCTTTTTCTTTTCTTTTCTTTTTTTCTTTTCTTTTCTTTTCTTTTCTTTCTTTTTTTTTTTTTTTTGAGTGAGCAGGCAAGCACACTACTGCTTGAGCCACATCCCCAGGCCACAACCTCTTCTTAAAGGAATTGAGCTCTAAATGTGAATACCAGGTTGTCTAGGGGATAGAATGGGAGTGACAGTCATCTTTGCTTTGCCAAGGCCCAGTGTCTATTTAAGTTGATTAAAAAAAAAAAACTCAGCTGTGCAGGAGGGGAGACAAGAGAATAGGTTGTGATACTCTGTAGGAAGGTTTCCAATGATGGGCCTCATGTCTCAGTCTCATTAATGATTTGGGTGAATGCACAGAACTGAATGCAAGCTTGTCTGATCTGATTAGGCAGGAATGGGTAAAAGGGCTCTGAAGCCATAAGTTTAGTCAGAACCAATAAAGGAATGTGACTGCTCAAGTGGCATAACATCCAGAACAAGGGAGGTAATAAGCCACTGTACTGTCCTTGGAGGATATCTGGAGCCCTGAGTCTTCCAGAACCAGGAGAGGGTAATCAGGCTAAGGAGGGCTGACCCTCCATATGAGGCAAGAATATGGGCCCAAGAGTCCACAGACCTGGATTTATATCCTGGCTTTGGCACTTATTAGCTGGGGCTTGGTGAAACCTGTTTCTTCATCTGTAAAACCATCCTAACAATCCCTACTTTAAAAGATTGTCACGAGAACCCAAGATAATATATGTTAAGCCCCAAATATAGTAATTGCCTGTTACTGATCAATAGATGATGGCTATTGTTATTAATATGCCATACCATGGCTGATGAGCTTGGCAGAGGTACCTCAGGAAGTGCTGACTTTGGAGAATAAAGCACGGTTCTGCTACATCAGAGGAGCTGTTGTTAGGCGTACAGTTCCTTAAGGCTAGAGGACAGAGTTAGGACCATAATAGAACACCCAGGGGAGCAGGTGTCAGCTAACTAACCATCTGGCCATAGGGAATGTTCTCTCATGTGCAGAGAGTTAGGCTTGAGGGGAAGCAGCCAAGAGGAGCGGGTTGTGCTTTTAGTCTGAGAGTAAGGGGAGTAGCTGGGACCAGGTGAGCTCTGAGGTCAGTGATTTTAAGACTCTGATGTCTGTCCTCAGTCTGTTTCTGATAAAAATTTTGAGTCAACTTGAATTGATGCAAAACACCCCCCAAAAGCAGTTTCCCAGATACAACTTATAAGGCTCCATCACACTTCTGCATGTTTTCTCTGACACCACTTTTCCAGTCACCACCAGGAAATGGGTTAAGTCAGAACTTGTGCATTATTGCACTTAATCCTCATAATGACTGTACGAGGCAGATGCTGCCATCCATTCTCATTTTGTCACACAGACTCAGTGACTCAAAGAAATTAAGTAACTTGCTCAAAGATGTCATCTAGCTCCTAAGCAGTGGGATAGGATAGAAATGCAGGTTCATGTGTTTCTGGAACCTATTCTCTTTACCATGACATGACACTGCAGTCCCAATAGAGCCAATCCTCAGGAACCATAGGCCTGGCCCTCAGAGGGCTGTCCACTCAGCTGGTTTACTCCTGCCATCTGCTCTAAACTCTTTGGTCCTTTCTTGCTAATCTCAAACTCTTTGCTCCTCTATTAACTTGCCTAGTGATTCACCTTGTGGATTTATGATACTCAAAATGAGTCATTTTTCCTGATACAAAACTTCTTGCTTTCACTTTGGTCTGGGCAGTGGGCAAGGCCTGGAATTAGGAGTCTCAGTTCTCCCTCATATTCTATGCGTGCAAGCATATCTCTCCCTTCTTTAGGCTTTGGTGGCTTCCTCGACTTGTGACTAAATAAGGGGGTTGGACCAGGAGATTTCAGAGGCCTGTAATGGGTGTCTGTTATTCCCCGAGCTAGTGAAACCTCTCTGTTCCCACCAAAGATGCCTCTTACCTATTCTTAGCTGTGCTCCCCTCCAACACCTGCCTTGGCTCTCTCTGGTGCCTTATCTAGTACACAGAGAGATGCCTTCTCCAAAACAATCCCAGAATGAAAGAATGTGAAGCATACTCTGTCCAGGGCCCAGATATGTCAGTTGATATTCCTTGTGCCACCTGTGAGGGAGGGGTTCTTGGAAGGCAGTGGTGAAGTGAGTTGGACCTTGAGCCATGCAGAGATACCATTACAGAGCCATTTAGTTTAGTAGTGTTGGGGAGAAATTGCTGAACCAATTGCAAGTCTTCCCCACCTTAGGGCATATTACCTTGCCAAATGCTTATTAGGATGTGTGGTTTCTGTGTTCCCACAGAGTGATGATATCACCAAAGTGACCCAAGCAGCTAAAATTGTGGAGCGAATGGTCAATCAGAATACATATGATGATGTTGCTCAGGGTAAGATTTCTTGTGCTCATATTAAAAACTCCTCATAAAAACTGATATTTGAGTATCCCGTGCTAATTCTTATATATGCAAGAGAAAGAAAAAAAATTCCTTCCTCCTCTGGCTGTCATTGAGAGGACAAGACTTACACAAGTCAACCATGAACAATAGCATAAGAAACAATGGCCTTAATGTTGAGATCTGACAATGATATAGCAAGAAATGCCTGCACATTAGTGATCCAATGTCATCTTCCCAATATTCCTGGGAAGAAGACAGAGCAAAGATGATTACTCTTACTTTGCACATGAGACATCTGAGCCAGTGTCACCTGGCTAGTGAGTTGGCAGAGGAGGCGCAAACCTAGGTCTTGAGCTTCATTCTATGTTCTGTTCTCTACTCAGTTGGAGTTGCTATAATGCCAGAATATACTAGATGGTCAGAAACTGCTTGGGAAATCCTCACCAAAGGAAAAGGGAAGATAAGTTATGAGTGGGAGCAGTCAAGGAAGGCTTCAGGGAGGTCTGAGCTAGATGTCAAGGGACAGCAGAGTCTGAGTAGGAGTTTGGAAGAAGAGAAGATGTTATGGGCAGAGGATAGCATAAGCAGTGACTTGATGGCAAGAATGCATAGGAATGGACTCGGGGAACAAGGGGCAGCAAAAGTGGTGAGAGTTCAGGCTGGAAGGGTGGTTGGAACCAGTTTATGAAGTGCCTTGGATATCACAAGGGATTTGAGATTTCTCCACAGATAGTTCAGAGGCATTGAAGCCTACTAGGCAGAGACACAGCTCAGTGAGAACTGAGATGGAGGAAGATGTGAGTAAGCAGAATATAAGGATAAAGGTAAAGGTGCAGGTTGGAATAGGTTTTGCCACACCTAAATCATAAGGAATGGAGAAAAGGAGCAATAATAATGGAAAACAGCACCAGCATTCACTGTGTGTGGCCTATGTGTAAAGTATTGTGCTGTCTGGATTATGTGTATTATTTTATTTTTTTCCTGACAGTTTTACTCTGTGAAGTGAATACCATTATTATCTTCAACTTATAGAGGAGAAACTCAGTCCTGGGTGTTGCTACTTGTTCAAAAATCATAGCTAGTGGGTGCTCTGAGTAATTGAACCAGAATTTGAACACAGGCCCCTTGGATCCATTGCCTAACCACTTTACCATGAAGCTACAGAGCTATGGAGCAGAGGAGATGTTTCAAATAAACACATTCAATAGATCTATCCTGATGATTAATTAGTGATGAGGTGAAGAAAGAGATTGATTCAGAAATGCTTAATTCCAGGGGCCTGGGAAATTCTGGTGTCTTTGACAGTGCCAGGGAAACGGAATCCTTCCCATGGCATGAACAGCACATTCCCAAGTGGCTTGTATTTCCCTAAGAGGTTGTGCATTTATTTGGAGCAGCTGCCTCCCCAGAGTTGGCAGCTCCTTGCTGCTGGCTGGTCTCCTTTGCTGACAGCCTAGGGCTCTTCTTGGTGACTTGATGTTCATTGCTCACCCATGGGACATAAAAACCAAGGCTGCCAAGACCAGGAGCCTAAACAAGCCCCCTTGTTATCATTCAAGCTGGAAAACGACCTTGAGTGCTTTTCAAAGCTGTCAAAGTACACAGCAGCTGTGAATGAATTTGTCACTCACACAGCTTGGCTTCCTGAAACCCAGCCTATGCAAGTGGCCCGCCAAAGGGCTGCAAACCTGATTAATATCCATGGAGAAACTGGCCTTGTGAACCACTTTCATTTATAAGAACACAGTCACATAAAAATGCATTGAACTTTGATTTTTTTTAATTGCATACTCTTTTTCCTTTGGGAAAGTGTAATCATGAAGGAGAAGTGAAAATAGAGAAGTGTTACCAATTAATCTCTCTGAAATGAGGTACTTTCAAAGACATCCCAAGCTCAGGAATCTCTGATGTGATCAAGGCTCACGCCTTTCTGACCACTTGAATCTTTTTTGTTTCAAGACATTTTTGAAATCTGAATGTAATCTCACAACCTCAAGGTATGGGCCATTGTGAGAAAGGCTGGAGCAATGCCTGGGCTTGACCTTGACTGTTTTGGATTAGAGGTTCATTTCCTGGTTGGTCATTCTTGTTTGGAAAGAAAACCGAGAAACCATTTCACTTCAGTTTCTTTATTTCCTTGCATTCTTCAAATGGCCATTGGGTGCTGCTGTGTGGCTACCCTGTGCTAGGCACTGAGGACCTTGGAATGAATGTCACACATTTCCTGCTCTCTAGGAGTTGTACAGTAGGAGAAAATAGGCAGAATAATTGTGTGACAGATGTTTTAGTAGAGAAGAGGCAGGAATAGAAAAAGAGGAAGAAAATAGCTCTACTCAAAAGAAAATAATCCAAGCATGGTGGTGCAAGAGTAAAGTCCAGCGGCTTGGCAGGCTAAGGCAGAAGGATTGCTTGAGCCCAGGAGTTCAATACCAGCCTAGGCAACATAATTAGACCTCATCTCAAAATAAAATAAAATAAAATACCTTACAGAGCGGGGGTGGGGGGGGGAATTTGATCTGGATTGGGAGTAAGAATGTGCCAGGAAAACCAGGACATTTTATACATGGGAACACAGAAACACAAAGTATACAGAAGTATATAGAAACATGAGATAATTTGACTCATTGGCACTATTTGGTATAGAGGATACATGGACAGCTGGCTTGAAATGATGTGAAGGTGGAGGCCAATAGCCTTGGTTTGACCAGGGAGCCCCTGTATAAGGAGAGCCATGGAGGGGGGGTTCCACTGGGATGAGAAGAGTGGTGTGGTAGAGTTTATTTGCTCTCCACCTGGTAGTTCTGTGGAATGTGGGCTGGAGGAGGGGTTATAATGGTAGGGAGACCAGTTAGAAGGAAGCTGTAATAACTCAGATGAAGGAATCTGGGACCTGAACTTGGGCATTGGCTATAGGTTTAGAGAGAAATGAATGGATTAAAAGGATATTCTGGAGTAAACTATAACAACTGGTAAAAGGAAATCAGTCAAGGATTACCTAGGTTTCTGGTTTAGACATGTGGAAAGATGAGGTTTCTACCTAGCTTAGAGAAAATGGGAGGCAGAAACAATTTTGAGGCAGATGAAGTTGAGCTTGGGGAATCCATGGGGGATCCAGGCAGCTTCATTATAGTGAGGTTTGGCAGTGGATATAAGGATGAGCAGCATTTTAGGGATTTAGGAGGCAGAATGAATAGAACTATTAATCAGCCTCTGGCAGCTGAAACCTTGAAATTTGGCTGCTCCAATCTGAGTCCTCTGAAGTGCTGGGGAAACTCATGGGGACAAGGGCTGCAACCTGGGATTCTATCCATGAGCACATGGCTACTTTATTGTAATTTGCTTCCAACAACAATGACAGTAACAATAGCTAATACAGAAAAAGAAGTTACTGTGTACCAGGCATTTTTCTAAGCACTTTGCATATATTAACTCAACATATCCTCATAGCAGTCCTTTGAGATAGGTACTGTTATTCCTACCCGGAAACACAAAGAGGTTCATTGTATTGCCTGATGAGACAGTAATTGGTGAATCTGGCTTTGCTGAAAAGTGGCAGTCAGGAGACTGACTCTACCTGTGTGTGTTTAAGATTTTAAGTACTATGAGGATGCTGCTGACGAATACCGGGACCAGGAGGGTACACTGCTGCCGCTCTGGAAGTTCCAAAACGACAAAGCCAAGCACCTGGCCGTCACCGCCCTCTGCTGGTGAGTATAGACATTGCAGCAAACCCAGAGCCCCTGCTGCTCAGAGTAGCCCCCCTTTATTGCGCTTAACAACCTTGAGTGTGACTCGTGGCAACATGGGAAAAGCAGGACTGTGATTCCTATGGGACTGCAGAATAGTCCAACGTCTCTCAGCTGGTAAACACCCAAGTTGAACAGTAAATATCTGCAGTGTAGTTAGGCACTAATGTCCATGGAAGGGACATGTCCACTTCCTGTGCCAATGGGTTCATATTTCTTTTGCAGGAATCCAAAGTACAAGGATCTGTTTGCAGTAGGACATGGCTCCTGTAAGTGATCCAGCTATTCTTTCATTGGCTCGTGCAAACAGCAAACACTAAGTACCTACCCTGTGCAGAGTTCTTGGCTGGGTGTGAGAAATGTGAAGATGACTAGGATACCCCCTGGGAGATCCACAGTCTGATGGAAAGACCCATAATCCTATGGGCAATTAGTGTTGAATGAAGGAATATATCAAGCTGAATATGCCAACTGAGCCTTGAAGGAAGAGAGAGCACTCTGGCAGAGGGGCTAGCATAGTTTAAGTCTGGAGGCATGAGAGAAATGGCAGGAAATGGAGCTGTCAAGGGACCAGGGTCAGCCCTCAAAGGGCTTGGTAAGCCATTCCAAGAAGCTTGGAGCTTCTCCTGAGGGGAAACCACTGAAGGAATTTGAGTAGGGACAGGTCCACTTCAGAGACGAATTGCAAGCCTGATACTGGAGTCTGGTGCAGGCATCTCAGGGAGAGATGGGACAATCTTAAACACAGCTGTGGAGTGCGATGGAGGCCCTCTCCTGCATCCTCTCCTAGCCTTCTTGACCAGGCTCTGGAGCAGGGTTGTGGGTGGAGGTGAGGACAAGTGCTTGAAATTCATGACTTGGCTCTGGATCCCTGGAAGACCACTGTTGTCCAAATGTTCCTGCCTCTGCCATTTACACACTAGGGGCAGAGAAGCAGCACCCACTGATAATTGTGTCTGGGCAATTTGGTTTTCCTTTATGTTACTTGGTCCAAGCAGAAGTCTCTACTGCTGTGCTGGCCTGGACATTCCCCCTTTCCAACAGGAGAGGGCCCTATACTTCGCATTAGTCGCACCTCCCCATTGCTAACCGTGTGTTCTCTGGCTGGGAGAATCAGCTTCTGAGAACAGAAAACCTCTCCATTCTACAAGCTGCTGCTGGCTGGCAGGCAGACAAGCTCCTGGCTGCTGCCCCTCAGATCGCCTGTCAGCCCATTCTTTGACCAGGGTGGGGGAGAGGGAGGGAGTGCAAGGAGGAGTTGATGTTTGTCATTCCTCTCAGGGAGGAGACTTTGGAGCTGCTCCCAGTCCTGTGGACTGGGCTGCCTTTGAGGATGCCCTAAATGCCTGCTTTGTGTCCCCACTCCTGAGGGTGGGCTGCTGCCAAATGGGAAGCACCCTCCCCCTCTGGCAGAGAACTAGCACATTCTTCCCCTCTGCTACAGCTACTGGGTCTGGAACAGGGCCTGGGGGTTGGGCAGATTCACCCAGGAGTAGGTGTGGACCCCCCTTTGAGGCTGTTCTCAGTCCAGGCTCTCTGCTCAGGATAAGGTGAGGGTGTGTGATCTCCCCAGAAGATGGGAGAAGAAACTCAGTTCTATCCTATTCTCCATCAGGGTCAGAAGCAGTGTCAGCTGGTTGGGGTCAAAATGGAGGCTGTTTATTCAGTAGCAGTAGAGAAGGATAATTCAGCCCCTGCAAAGTGATGACATCAAAGCTGAAAGGCCTGGCAGCCTCCTATGGACACATATCCAGGAAGGGTCTCTTTGTCCTCCTTGGCCCTTGTAGCCATATCCAGATGCCCGAGTGCTACCCACAATCAGCTACAGCCCTTCCCCTGGAATCACTTCTCAGTGGTGTACTCTGGGTCTTGGTCACCTTATTTATGATAAGGAGAGGCTGATAACCTGCCAGGCCTCTGTATCAGGGCTGTGTTGAGTCACATGTGAGAGTAAAGAAGTAAACGTGCCCTACGAGTTGTAGGAACCACTTACACAAGAAGAACAACCATTGCTGATTTGGCTCAGTCTTTTCCCTGGCTTTCTTGGAGTACTTTCAGGGGTCCCAGGCAGAATAAAGGGGCTGGGAATCAGAGGTGAATCTTTTGGGGAGCAAGGCCCAGGAGCAGTGGCAGCAGTATTTACTGTTGCTGTCACTGGTACAGGAGTTGTTGGCAGTTTTCAGATGGGCATCTTTTATAGAGCCTTTCATATTTCAGTACCACTTGCAGAGGCCAGAGGAGAGCCAGCCCGGGCTGGGACCCAGGAAGGTCCCATCATCTACTCCTGAGATCACCTCTGGGAGACCCATGTTCTTGAATATCCAGGCACCTCCATGGAAGAAAAAGCACAAAGTGGAGGCAGGCAGAGGACACCCTAGTTGCCGGATGGGGTCTTTCTGAAGAGCAGTTGGTCTCACCAGCTTCTGTCACAATCTTTGGAAGCTCCCAACTACCAACCCCCATCCCCATAATCAGATTTTGTCATGAGGACAAACACTGGAATGAGAATTTGTGTTTGTTTCTGGTTTTGACCTTGGTGAACTGAATCCAGACCTCATGCATTTCCTTTTGCCTGAAATTTCTAGATGTTTATTCTGTGACCCAGTCACATAAAACTTTGGTAAGGTAGGCATGTACCCTAGGAAAGACTGGAGCTTGGCTGGAGTCAGGTCAGAAGCAAGTAGGTAGGGAAAAGGGGATCTGGGAGTTGCCTACAACAGCTCAGAAGCATCCACACCTGCATCCCCTTTAGGGCAGCTGCATGCCCGCATATTAGGCTTCTTAAAGGGAAGATACTGTGATGTCCCTGAAGCCAGGCTCCTTGTTCCCAGCAGAGTGAAGTAAGAGGCTGTCAGCAGGTGAGGGCAGGTAGAGGAATGTTGGAGAGCAAAGACAGCTAGTCCAGGAAGAAATGGCCCTGGAACTGCTGGGGTGAAATTATGTCTGCCTGCTGTACGAGAGGGTCCTTTCCAGCTCATTAGCCAGTTCATAGCAGGGAAATTGGGCCTGTGCATGGTCTGTCAGGCAGGGATGGTGGAACAGATCCTGGAAACTCTGTGTGGTCCTGAGGCGATCACAGAGGAGATGAGGCAGGAATTTCCTCAGCAGGTCTCTTAGTGGAAGTGCAGGGGAGCCAGCTGTGCTTCAACCCAGCCTCCCTTTGGGGCAGCACCTCCCTCTGGGGCAGCACCCTTAAAGGGGCCAATGGCAGGCCCCAAGATCCAGGACTAAACTCACTCCTGTTCTGTCCCAGCATATCCTGGCCTGTCCCTGAGCCTGCTCAGACCAGAGATACACTTGTAGGGATTTAAATCTTTCCTGATCATTTATTTGTCAGCTTCACTAATTAAGCAGTGTTAATTTCATTTACTGAAAATGGAAATTCATCCACCTCATTTCTCCTTGTTCATCTTCCACACACAAAATCCATCACTCCTCAGCTGCAGGCTGCGTAAAATTTACAGGACTAATTATGTTGTCAGGTCTCTTTGTAAATACAGTCCATAAAGGCCACTATGCTTGCTGGGTTGTAGTGTAAGGGCATTCCCATTGTTAGTTTAATTACTGGTTAGTTATTAGGTTCTCAAATGTTTGCCTCATTTTCCCTAAATCAAATTAAATGTCCTGCTTGATGTATTCTGTCTCCAAGGCCTTGCTCTTATTTCCCACACTGTTTAAATAAGACTTCTAATCCAATGAGAGTGCCTGGAAAAGCCCTACTGCCTGGAAGCCTGAGCCCAGCTTGGCACCATGGCCTCTGGGCCATGTTTGAAGTTTGGAACCCTCTGGAAACCGAGGCCATTCTTCAGGCCAGACTTGAGTTAGTCCTCTGCCTCTAGAGACTGCAAAAATTCTGTTCCTGGAGTCCAAGGTGGCAGGGCTGAGCTGTGGGAAACTAAGGAAGGCTTTAGTTATTATCATCAGAAGAGCTGAGGATCATTTCACCTATCCCCCTGACTTCTAGAGGGACTGCTTCCCAACTGTCCCAGAAAAATAGTGCCATCTGTGGGAGCTTGTCTCTTCCACTCATAAAAGTAGAGTTTGGGTCAATCTTCCCTGAATGCCTATGGTATTTGTTTCCTGTTGCTGTCGTAGTAAATGACCACAAACATCATGTATTAAAACAACATCAATTCATTGTCTTACAGTTCTAGAGGTCAGAAGTTCAAAAGCATTTTTACTGAGCTAAAAATCAGGTGTCAGCAGGGCTGTGTTCCTTCTGGAGGCTCATGGAGAGCACCTGTTTTGTTTTCTTTTCCAGCTTTCAAAGGCTGCCCGAATTCCATGGCCCTCATCTAGCTAGCAATTGCATCATTCTGACATCTGCTTCTGTCGTCACATCTCATTCTCTGACTCTCCTGCTTCTACTTTTCCCCTTATAAGAACTCTTGTGATTACATTAAATCCATGCAGATAATCTGGGATAATCTCCCCATCTCAAGGTCTTTAACTTAATCACATCTGCAAAGTCCCTTTTGCCATGCAAAGTGTCATATTTATAGGATCTGGGGATTAGGTTGTGGACATTTGGGGGGGAGCATTATTATGCCTACTGCACACCCCCTCCAAGTGCTTCTTGCATGACTTAATAAGGGAGTCATCAAACAGCTGCTGCCTTAGAGCCAGTCCTGGGCTGGCCTCATTTAAGATGCCACAGTACAAGAGGGAGCCTGCTGTCTCAAGCTGGCAGGGTACCTTTGTCTCTGCAGTTTGCCATCTACTTCCTACTGACCATTGACCTGGCCTTAGCCTGGTGGCCCAACATGCCCTCTGCCTTCCTTGTTTCCCAGAATCCTGAGTAGGAACTAGGGTTTTCCTGACAGCCAGCAGTCTCCATAGTGGCCCCTACGACATAGAGCTGTTCTTTTTTTCTTTTTTTTTTTTTAATTTTTTAATTTTTTTATTGGTTGTTCACAACATTACAAAGCTCTTGACATATCATATTTCATACATTAGATTGAAGTGGGTTATGAACTCCCAATTTTTACCCCAAATGCAGATTGCAGAATCACATCGGTTACACATCCACATTTTTACATAATGCCCTATTAGTAACTGTTGTATTCTGCTACCTTTCCTATCCCCTACTATCCCCCCATAGAGCTGTTCTTTACCTGCTGGGCAGGAATGAAGTTGTGGTCTGAGGTCCCACTACTAGTTTCCAGTTCAAGAAGATATCAATCCTCAGGTTTTTGTTGTTGTTGTTGTTCTTGTTGAATATACATGACAGTAGAGTGTATTTTGATATATTAGGATGAATACATGGAGTATAACTTACTCTAATTAGGATTCCTATTCTTGGGCTTGGAGGTGATGTGGAGTTTCACTGGTGGTATATTCATATATGAGTATAGGAAAGTTATGTCCGATTCATTCCACTGTTTTTCTTATTCCTGTCCTCTCTCCCTTCCCTTCTTTCCCCTTTGTCTAATTCAATAAACTTTTATTCTTCCTCCCTTGCCCTCCATCCAGGTTTCTCCCTAGGCACTGTTCTTCCAGAACTCTAGCAGAGGAAGCTGAGGACAATCAGAGCTTTGCTCTGTGGTGGAATTAATACACACACGTGCATATGTGCATTCACACCCACATGCACGCTAGCTACTCCCCTTGCCAGAGATCACAGCTTTCTGAGAACTTCCACATCAGGCTCTATCTCACAGGGGGTTTATTCTCCTCCCCCAAAGCTTGTGGATTATTGAAGGGTAGAGTCAGGGAGGCCTTAGTGATTATCCAGTAGAGCAGGGTGAGAGGAAAAGCTTGATTGCAACAAAGAGAAAGACTGCTGAGGAGCAAGCCAAGGTGTGCTCCCTCCATCCTTCATGGCAGGTCAAGGAAAAGACCTGCTCACAGTTCCTGACAGTGTGTGGGGGAAGGGGCAACACCTCAGAAGAGATATATTCTCAGTGACTGAATAGTCTAGAAGGCCTCCCAGAGAGGGTCCTCATGGGCTGGTAGACCCTCTAAACAGTTGGAGAGACTATGAGGCAGCTTAAGGAAGCAACAGGAGCAAAAGTACTAAGATGAGCAGAGCTAATTTCCTGCTAGTAACCCTTTCCCTCTGTCTCAGGGTCAAGGTCCATGTGATTATCATTTTTCTCTCTTCTTCTCTTTCTCACTCTACCCCTTTTCCCCTCTATTTCTCCTCTGTTCTACCAAGCTACATATACTTACTGAAATCCTATAGCCTGGAATACCCCAGAATTAATTCACTGGCTCCAGACTTGAGTCTCTGCCTCTTTATACAATAGATGGTGGGGTTAGGAGGTTCCTATCTGGGTTGCTGGACTCTCTAACCCTTCCCTAAGAAGCCAGGAAGTTTGTGGCATTCAGAGCAAAGTACTCCAGGAGCGAGACCCAAGGTTCTGCAAGCCTTGAGTCTGTGGGACTCTAGCCCTCATTGGTAGCTGAAGCATTGAGGGTGACTTGAAGCTAATGTCAGACTGGGATTGTTAGTGACCTGGCTGGTGATGTCATACTTATGGAATATTGGATGACTAAGCAATGATATCATTAGGGATTGGTGCTATCATACCTCCCCTTGCAGGGTCAGAGACAGGCCACTCACTAGATCCTGCAGTTGAATGAGTAATTCCAGCAACCCAGGAGACTGAGGCAGGAGGATTGTAAGTTCAAAACCAGCCTCAGCAACTTAGTGAGAACCTGTCTCAAAAATAAAAAGGACTGGGGATGTGCTCAGTGGTTAAATGTCCCTGGGGTCATTTCCGTACCAAAAAAATTTTTTAATTTTTTAAAAAGATAATGATGATATGATGTTGGGACTATTGGAGGTTTGGGCTGTGATGTCACACTGGAGAATGGAATAATGAGTTCTCAGAGAGGCCACTGGAGTCAAGGTGAGTTCATAGTATAAGACAGAGTTGAGAGGAAACCCCAGTTGAATAAGGGTTTTCTTGGTGTGATTTGGCAGAAAGACCTCAAATTAGAACTAAGGAAGAATGCAGTCTAGCCATAATTAGAAACCATGATCTCCATGTCTCATTTGGTTCAAGTAACAGAGATTATTAAACCAGTTTGACAAAATGGGCCTCATGTCAACATGCGTGTGACCTGGGAACTAGTATGATTGGTTGTTCTCTATGTCCCTCTCTCATGAAATCCATGTTCTTCTCTGCAGTCTTTGCAGAGAAAAGACTTTGACTGCTTCTTTGACTGCTCTGTCACTTATACATTCTCTAGTCCATAACCCAGAGGGATTGGATTATTTTTGCTAGTAAATCACCACCCCATTGGGTCTGGTGACCCCTTCCTCTCCTTTCTCCACATCAGTGTAAACACCAGATTACTAGAGCAGTATATGTGCAGCTATCAAAGGGACACTGGGTGTGGCAAACACCATGAGATATGCATCATGCAGCAGGACACACCATTTCTGTCCTCTAGGCCTCAGTTTCTTTGTCTGTAAAATTAGGCGGGCATGATTCCAGCCTGTAGTCTCAGTGGTTCTGTAATTGGGTTAGAGATGTCTTCAATACAGAGTTACTAAGCCAACCTAGGGCTTCCTAACCTCTTTCCCTGGTTTCACTGGTCATGAACACTCTGTGCATGAATGTAGGGGTAGAGGTTTATGTAAAGAAATAAGTCGGGCTGGGGATGTGGCTTAAGCGGTAGCGGGCTCGCCTGGCACAGGCACCACATACAAACAAAGATGTTGTTTCCACTGATAACTAAAAACTAAATATTAAAATTGTCTCTTTCAAAAAAAAA